ATATAGCCCTTTGCGAAAATCAACACTATTTTAACCCTATTTTATCCTATTTTACTTTCTATTTTATTCCTATAGAAAAGCTATTTTATTTTTAACCATATCATATTGCTATCACATATACAAATCCTATATTAAACCTATTAGAACTCTGTTTTAATTGTATTTTATGGCTATTATAAATAGGTTTTTTTGAAACAAAAAATAGCCTATTTTAAATAGATTTTATTTTTCCGAATCGGTGAAGCACAGATTAAAATAGGTTTAAAATAGGATAAAATATATTTAAAATAGAGTGCAAAATAGAAATAAAATAATAAAGTAATGTGAAACATTGGTAATAAAATAGATTTTAAATATACATAAAATAAGTTAAAAATAGTCGAAAATACATATAAAATAGTGGATCAACTGCAGTATATTAACTAAAAATAGTAATAAAATTACTGCAAAAATAGTAATAAAATAGTTTAAAAATACTGATAAAATAGTAGAATTTAAAATAGTGATAAAATAGCGAACAAAATAGTAAAAAAATAGTTCAAAATTCTCATAAAAGAGTATAAAAATAGTAATAAAATTGTAATAAAATAGTCGAGAGTCATAACAGTTCTAAAATGATTAATAAAATAGTTTTAAAATAGTCAGAAAGTAGTAATAAAATAGTTATGAAATAGCAATAAAAGAATAGTAAAATAGTCATAAAATAGCAATAAAATAGTCAGAATGTAGCAATAAAATAGTTATAAAATAGCAATAAAAGAATAGTAAAATAGTCATAAAATAGCAATAAAATAGTCAGAATGTAGCAATAAAATAGTTATAAAATAACAATAAAATACCTAATAGTATATAAAAATAGTAGCATGTACTAGCTGCAACATAGTTACTTTATAAAGTAATAAAATTGTAGTATGATAATTAAAACCAGTTAAAAAATAGTGATGAAATAATATCAAATTACAGTAGCTGAAAACTAGCAATGCAGTATATGGTTGACAGGTATATTATCGTTTAAAATTGTATAAAATAATACACATAAAACAGTTTGTATTCTTATTAGCTGTCAATGCTAGGTTGTGGCAGTTTAACAGCGGCAGGGGTGAATGTGGCAGTTTAAGCAGTGTCAAATCAATGGCATTATTTACCACAGTCAGAGTTACCAACGTTTGAGTAACTGTAAGGAATCTATAAAATTACACGAGTGGGTTTCAAATCAATTGCAGGATGAGCAGTCTAGTAGTCTACTAGCAGTTAGACAAAGCCACCAAGCATCTTGCAGATCAAGCAGTTATTGCCAATACATGTCAGTTTAATTGTCAGTATTAAAAGGTGAAAAATGGGCAAGCAGACCACAGTCGATAAGCAAAATTGTCTAGCTTGAGACCTCACAGTTAAATATTGTGTGCAGAACTTAAAGTAGGGAGTGTTAAGGAAAATTACATCTAAATATGTCAACATGAAACATCATGGGCATGAAACATCATGAGTCTAGCTGGACACTTTCCTTGGCAAATAAAATTGTCCAACATTAGGCAAGATACAGAAACATTTAAATATTGACAAACTGCTGAAAATTGTGCACTTCGCAGTGAAATGGGTAATTTTATTAAAAAAACAAACATCAGTTCACCCTTGTCGTGACTTGCCGGGGTGTCTCTAAAGATATATAAAATGTAGCCCAAAGGTTGTTACATATATTATTAAGCAGATCATGCAGGTGGTATAGATAAATGTATTCATATATTATAAACTTTGAACAAGCAAACAAAGGACTTTGACTGTTTCCAGTTAGAGCACTTCCATAATCAAGTTGCCACACAACAAATTGATCAAATTGACATTTTTACCTATTAACCGAACCACCCGGCATTAAAAAATTCAAGCATGGCATACAAAGGAAATTGAAATTAAACCTCTATACCCATTCCATTGATATCCTAGTGCATTGTACTATTACCCTCTGATGTTAGACATCATAAGTTGATGGTAAAATCAAACAGCACTGAAAGAATCCAGCTTTGATGCAACCAACACCTGGTGTTAGACTGAGGGTGAAAAAAAATTAAAGTAGGGTATATAAGTGCTATAATGGTAAAGTGCACGAGACATTCCTTTTCCGGTTGATAATTTCAGCAAATATACTACATAGATATAAGTAGAATATAATATAATGACATGTCTTGCAAATATAATGACATATCTTGTGAAACACTGACCAGTGAAGGTGAATCATATTTGATTCAAAACATACAGTTTTTATAAATTGTGTGTTAATTACTGATTTACTGTATTTATATTATATATTTTATATATATAATGCACTCCTTATTCAAAATAACTTTAATTTATTCTATGACTATTGTAACTGAGACATGCACATTTAGCTGGGATATGCCTAGGTATTTATAAGCACATAAAGAATTGAGGATTGAAACTTGAGTAGATGTCAAGCTATAATATATTATTTAATTTTGATACAAGAAACACTGCCACTGCAGCACTGCTCACTGGAATCTATCATATACACAACTATTAACTATTTGGCATTAGTTACAATAAACATAATTTAATATAAAGACTGAGTCAAATGTAAGCTTTGAATTAAACTATTGTTTTATATCATCGTTTTAAATATTGTCGCGGCAAATTCAAATTTTGAGCCGAAACATCTATAATATTTGTATTCTCTTTTACATAGTTTATTTCTAATATCAACTGCACGCTACAAAATACTAATCCTAATGATTCCATGTGCTCTCCGGTCACATGACTATATCTGTCACTCAAGTCTATGACATCACTACACCATTCCCTTTGTTTTAACAAAACATAAATGTTTTAACTGTTCGAATATAAATTGTGTCCATATCACAAATTAATACTAATTTATCTATAGTTATTACTTTAATAAAAGTCACGTAACAATGTTTGACGGTAATGTTTGTCCGTATCTTTCGGGTTGCTTTCTTACTCTTGTGGACCGTCGTGGGTGCATATTCATACCGTTACCACGATTGTTGTTATTACGGTCGTTCATGTTAAACTGTACTGTTTCCTCTGGAGTACGCTGATTGTTACTCTCTGTACTAAAATCGTCAGTTTCCTCTGACGTATCTTCATTATCTTTGCTGGGTTTGGGTATCTTTTTAAAATGTGAAACATTTCGTTCTATTTCGTGTCCATCTTTATTTCTAGCTCGAACTACTGTTTTGTTCCGATAGATAACAACATAAGGTGTTTGATTGAAATTTGGCGTTAGTTTATTTGCCTTAGGTTGTTTCACTAACACATAGTCTCCCTCTTTGATTCCACTTTCCTTTGCATTCCTCCTTTCGTTTGCATATCTTTCGTTATACTTCTGTCGCTTGTTTTCATTTTCACGAGCTTCCTTATGTCGGTTCACAATGTTCTTCCTGTGAAGAATTGGTAACTTGCCTTGTACCGTCCGATTGAAGAGTAGTTCAGCCGGAGGAACACCGGTAGTACTTTGTGGTGTCGTCCTATACTGTAGCAAGAATCTATTGAGCTCTTGCTTCCATGGGCGACCTTCGATTTTGGCTGTTTTGAGTGCTTTTCCAAGGGGTTGCATAAATCTCTCAACTTGGGCGTTGCCTTGAGGCCATAATGGAGTAGAAAACTCGGGTTTGATTCCCAGTGACTTTAAGTACTGCTTATATTCATCTCCATTAAACGGTGGGCCATTGTCTGACTTTAAGACTTCTGGGATGCCATGCACAGCAAATATTTTATCAAGCTTCGGTATCACTACTGAAGCTTTTGTAGAACGGACGATTTCCACGTCTGGAAATCTTGAGTACCGGTCAATCACCACCAGTAGGTAGTCATTCGATGGCAGAGGGCCATAGAAGTCGACATGTAAAACTCTCCAGGGGTGTTTTGGCATATTTGTTGTTGCTATTGGCTCAGGTGCATTCGCTCGCCCAACTGCTTGACATGCAACACATCGTTCTATTGTGTTTTTCACCATGGTGTCCATCTGGGGAAACCATATCTTTTCTCTAACAAGACTTTTGGTCTTTTCAACTCCAAGATGTGCTTCGTGAGCTATGTCTATCGCTCTTTGTTGTAAAGATTTTGGAATTACAATTCTGGTTCCTCTAAGAATTACTCCATGGGACGTGACAGTCAATTCATCCTTTATCGATTTAAAGGATTGTACTACAGGTGAGTCCCATCGCTTGAGTCGTATAGCTGCACGGAGACCTTTTAATGTACTGTCCGAATTGGTCGCTTTTATTATTTCATCCAGAGTCATGGCTCTGGGGACCGCATTATGCACAATGAAGTTAATATATTCCTCGGTCATTTTCTCTTGCTTTCGTGAATTGGGGTTGATTGGATGTCTCGATAAATAGTCGGCTGGATTATTTGCGCCCGACTTATAAACAATTTTAAACGAGTATGGCTGAAGTCGAAGGATCCAGCGCTCGATTCTTGCTGAAGCTTTCGCCTTTCGACTTCCATAAATCACTTCTAACGGTTTGTGATCTGTAACTAGAGTGAATTGGCTACCATATAAAAACAAATGAAAATGTTCGACAGACCAAACTATTGCTAAAGCTTCCTTTTCTGTTTGTGAATAACGTGTTTCTGTGTCTGTTAAGGATCTGCTTGCATATGCAACAATTTTAGGATCATTCGTACCTGGTTCCTGTTGTGATAGAATTGCTGAGATGCCCACGGGACTAGCATCTACAATGACCAGTGTCTCTTTGTCTTTAGCAAAGTATGACATACATGGTGCTGATGCTAAGGTTGCTTTCAATTTGTCAAAACATGCTTGATGTTTTGGCAACCATGTAAATCGTGCATTCTTTTTCGTTAGTTCTCTAAGTGGGGCAGTTAAAGTCGCAAAGTCACGAATATATTTGCTACTGTAGTTAGCCATGCCTAATAAACTACGCACTTCAGAAACACTAGAAGGCTGGGGAGCATTGAGTAAGTCGTTTACCCGTTTCGGGTCAGGTCGTGTGCCTTCTCTGGAAAATATCTGTCCGAAAAATTCCAACTTATCTTCGAGGAATGTACACTTTCCTCGGTTTAACTTTAGACCAGAATTAGATAAGCGGGCAAGGCATTTATCTAAATTTTGATCATGTTCAGCTCGTATTTTTCCAAACACGGTTATATCGTCTGCGATATTTTTTACTCCATTTAGTCCCTGTAGCTTTGTTTGAAGGACATGTTGAAAGATCTCAGCGGACGCATTAGTCCCATAGTTCAAACGCTTGTAACGATATAATCCTACATGAGTACTGAACGTAGTAATAAATCTGCTTTCTTGATCTAGCACTAGTTGATGGTAAGCTTGAGATAGATCAAGTTTAGTGAAATATTGTGCCCCGTTGAGTGCAAAACTAACATCGTTCACGGTAGGAATGGGGTGTCGTACCCGGCGTATGGCTTCATTCGCTTACCGCATATCTCCGCATATTCTGACTCCCCCATCTTTCTTAGGAACTACGACTATGGGTGATACCCATGGTGTTGCCTCATTCTCAGACACCCTTTCAATTACGTCTTCCTTCTCAAGTGCTTTTAAGGCGTCTTCTACCTGTTTACGAATGTGATAAGGAATTCGACGTTGAGGTTGGGCTTTTGGTATTTGGTCTTTATCTATGTCTAATTTTACTGTCTCACCTTTTAATTTGCCCAGTCCATGAAATACTTTAGTATGTTTTCCAAGGATTTTGTCCAGGTTGTCATCTTTCGTTGTGACATGATTTAGATGTAAAGTTATAAGTCCAAGGTCTTGAGCTGTAGCCAGAGACAAAAGATTTCCACTATTTTGGCCTTTTACTACATAGAACATGGCCACAGATAACCGCTTGCGTGTTTCCACAACTGCCTCGAATTTTCCAAGGAATTTTACAGGTTGTGTTGTATTATACGGAAATGCTTTAGTATTTGTCTGCTTTAACTTAACACCGTCCATTTTCGAAAATGTTTGTTCATCGATGACATTAATTGTTGCCCCCGTATCAAGTGTCATCATAAAAGACGCTCCGCCCACTTTGACCTTGACTTTAGCGGTATTTGCTTGATCTTTGTTTACCGTATATAAATAATCCTCATCAGAATTGTCCGTTTCGTCGTGGTTTAAAGGATTTAGAGCTTTTCCCCGACCTTTGTGTTGTTTTCTAGTATTCTGTTTCGGTGCTTTCGGCTTACTTTTGCATACCCTAGCAAAATGATTTACTTTGCCACATATATGGCATGTCTGACCCTTCGCAGGGCATTGTCCTACGTGCGGATATTCACGCCCGCAATAGCGACATGTTTTCGCTTCGGTTTTCGCTGATTTCCCATCGAGTTTGTTTGTATATACCTCGGTTGACTCTTTTGACTCAATGTCCTTAATCTGATAGGAACTTTGCTCATCTCTTCGCCCTTCTAATAACATGCCTTTCAAGTCGAATTTCGGGTCTCTCAACGCGTGTTTACGAATCTTTGAGGATGTGCCGCCAATGATAATTTGTTGTTCGATTTCGAACTCTACGTCGTTGAATTCGCAAGTTGCAGCCATTGTCCGCAATCGCGTGTGATATTCATCAAGGGTCTCATCAGTTTTTTGCATAGCTTGACGAAAAAGATACACTTCATATCTTCTGTTTTTCTGTGGATCGAAGTATTCCTTTAGTTTGGCTTTGGCGACTTCGTAATTATCATCGTTACCCGTGTCCACTAATTGTTTAAATATTTCTCTCACACGAGGTCCTGCTTGATATAATAACAGCGCTCGTTTACGTTTAGCGTCAGTGATCCCACTGGCTATAATGAACATTTCAAAATCTGCTTGCCAGTTATTCCATCTAGTAGCGAGGCTTGCTCCTACTTTGGCATCGGGACGAAATTCAGGCATAGGCTGTATTGTGACCGATTGTGCCATTTGTACAACTTGTACCGCTTGTTGTGCTGGCTGTGGCGTTTCTTCATCTGCCATATTGTTCACTTTATATCCTCGTCGCCAATATAATATTTGTATTCTCTTTTACATAGTTTATTTCTAATATCAACTGCACGCTACAAAATACTAATCCTAATGATTCCATGTGCTCTCCGGTCACATGACTATATCTGTCACTCAAGTCTATGACATCACTACACGTATGTCATGCATAAATTATACAATGGGCTTATTACGTATTCAATTTTACATTCGACAAAACAAGACAAACATTTTCTATTTTCTCATCCACTTTTTACCCAAATTTAACAAAAATTTAGTTCATTTTTCCTTGGGTGACGTTCAATAGTCGCATTCATTTTCGTACTAATACGTTTGATATTTTAAGTCATCTTGCTGACAGGGAAACAACAGATGATCTGTATATTCACGGTTCGACTGTTGACTTATTGACTTAGTCATATCACGTGATAATATAGGGTAAAATTACTCAAATATGATTGGCTAATGAAGAGGGCGTTTTTTCTTAATGGACCTATTCCCTAATGAACAAAATTTTGATCTGGACAAGTATAGACAAGAGCATCACAAAATTAGTAATATTCCGAAGTTTCGTTGCGAAATGTTGTAAAATGCGGATAATATAGCCCTGCAAAGTTTGCCGTTTTTCAGTCATTTTGTATTACGCACGGGAAATTGATACCTTTTTTCACAATTTTACTCGGCCCCATGCGATTACCTATTCTAATATCAGATTCATAAAATAAGATTCCATCCTCGAGCTCAGGGGCGTAGGAACTGGAGGGGCCAGGGGGGGGCAGGCCACCCCCAAGTTTTGTCAAGTGCCCTTTTTCCGGGAGCAAAGTGCCCTTTTTTGCGTGAAAAATTTTCCTTAAGACTGCAATTTTTGCCCAAAGGGCACTTTTGAAAACTTGAATCTATGTTATTTCTGGAAAAATTTTTTCATTGCCGAGAAAAATATTATATATCTGGAAAATTTTTTGGTATGTCCGGAAAATTTTTTCCGTATTTAGGAAAAAATGTGGTATATCCGGAAAACGTTTTTGGGTATGATCAAAAACTTTTTTTGAGATGACCCCCCTCCCGTCGCCAACATTCCGGGGGAAAATTTTTAAATGCCCTTTTTTTTCGAAAAGTGCCCCTCAAAGCCTGCCCCCCCCCAACTTTTAGAAGCTTCCTACGCCCCTGCTCGAGCTACTTCTTCTCAAGAAATAACTACATTGAAATGATACGTGCCGTTGTGCCTTTTAAGGCAACTTCAATTTTCTCGACAACTTGAATTTTCGTTTGCCTGGCACTTTGCTAAAAACTTTGCTAAAAACTTCGAATACATGCACGATCGAGCAATATTTTTAAAGAGTATTATTGCGTTGCAGTCGCACAAGGTGGTTACGCCTGTGTTTAATTTATAACAATGACACAGTTAGGTGCCAGGCAAACGAAAATTGAAGTTGTCTAGACATACAGAAGGAACATGAAAAACAAGGAACCAGAAGCAGTCGATTCTGCCTCCTTTTCAGGGGCAGAATTTACTCTACCTGATAATGTAAATGAACTGAGCCCTTTTTTGTATTTCAAGATACTTTGGCATGACACTATTACTCAACAGGCAGCAGATATACATCACAAGTACGAGTTCCTCATGCCGATTTAGGACTAATAGAGCTATATATCCAAGCAATATAAATAAAGTTAGTTTAGGTTTCCTCCCATAGTAATCCTGAATCAATATAAGAGATGACCCTTGCTGGACCTCTACGGAAAACAGTTTAGAACTGAAATTTATTGCTTTAAATAAGTATTAGGTCTAGCCTGGTTATTAGCCTCATCTTATAATGTGTTTAACTCGGCAGTAAGATGAAACGTGCTGTTAGCTTGGGGCATCTGTGCTCTCAAAAACAATCATTATGTCTCGCCCTGCTTTTAAGTTGTTTTCCAAAATTAAAAACAGTAATAACAGAATGATATGTACTTTACATAACTTTAATTAAAGACCTTTTTATTTACTACGGCAAACTAAATTTAAAATCCTTTTAACATTGTATGTTTTAAAATCCAAGCATTAATATGTTTTTCAAACTTCAAACACCTTTTACATGAAATATTATGCTGATCAATGACTCGTCCACAGACCAAGCTTTTGATATATTTTATTAGTGATGGGAGAGCTTCTGTAATCGTCGGCGACAGGGGCGTGGCCACTCCTAAAGGTGGGGGCGGAAGGGGAGATGGTCTCCCGGGAGAGTTTTAAGATTTTCATGCATTTTAGATACGTTTTATAATAATCTGAAAGTCACAGATTTGGTATATTTTATATCATACACGCGTAAAAACGCTCAGGTTGATGCAATATTGATGAAAACAGGATTGAACAATGCTTTGCTGCCCACATTGTTCACAATTGTCAACAATATTGAACAATATTGTTACACCCGATTCAGGCTCAACAATATTGTTCAAAATTGTTAACAAGTGTGAACAACGTGGGCAGCAAAACATTGTTCAATCCTGTTAAGCAGCGGGCCCGGCGTTTTTTGCCATGTAGATGAAAACATTAAGAGGTTACACCCAGCCCCCCTCCCCCTCCCCCAGCCCCAGGTTTTCTCCAAAGTGTTGAAATAATTACAAAATTGACCCCGAAGAAAAGCGTGGGACTCGGGGGAGGGGGGGGGATACGGTCATATTATTATGAGGAATTTGGGGCATCTCAGTTGATTGAAGAATATAGTGTTGAAGGATTTTGTAGATGGAAATTTCCAGTGTAAATTTTATACATTTATGATGAACTATCCGGTCGATTTCGTAGCTCAGTTGGTTGGAACGCTGCACCAGAGGGTCTATATATATAGTTACATTTTTCGCAACTGCTCCTGGTTGGGTCTTAATAAATGCATAAAATTTACACTCAAAATTTTCGTATTATTATTGTATGAATTTGAAACGTGCAATGCTAAAAGTTTATTGATTTTTATAATTTATTTTTTAATTTTAGTAATTTGTTTTTTGCTAGTCATGTATAAAAATGTGATATTTTAAAGTTGTGTAAACTGTAAAGTGCATGATTATCTATAGTTCTCGTTCAACATATATTATTAATTTGCAATTGCAGTTTTGCCTTTTCAAAAACAACTTGAGAACAGGTGCGATGGTGAGACATGTAAATGAATGTTTGTTTTGAAAGTACAAGTGGCCCAAGCGAAAAGCACTTTTCGTCGAATCGTTAATTACAAAATAAAAAGAAATACAAGCTCGCTTTCGATTTTTACATCAAAAACTATATGTAATATGGCTCTAATATAACTCACAAAAGAAAGTTATTATACAATATACTACTTTCTAAATAAATATTTCGACCAATGCTCCATGATGGCGAGCAGATGGTCGATATATACATGTTCGACTGTTGAAAACAATTTTTTCTATCTCTGCTGCCACAAAATATTCTCAGAATTTTTAAACATTTGCGCAACTGACAGAGGTCGCTGTATATGAGAGAAACATTATATAGGCATCGTAAGTTCTCTGCAAACTTCAGGTTTCGTAAAATGTTTTATCCACAAAATTTCGTTGTCTAATCGCGAGTTGAATCATCTTTAAATTTAATTGCCAAGACTAGATTATTCTTATTTTGATTATTTGAGGATTCTTTTGACAGCTATTCATTGTTATTCTTTTGAATTTTGACTATTCTTTCACATACTAATGTGAACACTCAGACATACGCGTTTGCAATTATCATGTAACGGCAGAAAAAGCGACCATTTAATTTTAAATTGGTCATGTTAGTTCAGTTTTTAATGCAATGGTGGAAAAATATCTCATTCGATAGTTAAAAGCGTAATCTTTATTAGGATGGGAAAATTAAATATACATACCCAATACTTAACGCACAATAACATGGCAAATTTTGTTATACACCCTGTATATATAATGAAATAATTTAAAGAAATGAAAGCATTTTTATTTTTTTATGCGTTTTATTCGACTATATTTTAGTTATCTTCAGGAATGGATGAAATTACAAGCATAACAGTGCTATATATACCCTAGTTACAGCTACTGCATGCCTTTCTTATAGTGATGATGATATGCATATTAATATATAGAACAATATAAATTGAGTTTCTTTCTAGCCTTAAGTTTTTTTTTGAAGAAGGGTTATTAATGCAGCTAGGATTCAACCTGTCGACATATTTTCATGCTTTTCAGAACTTTCCATCCTTCGGTACGTAACACCTTGTTTTTCCAGTAAAAGATTAAAGAGTTAAATGTACAATTCATCAAAGAAGTGGTTTTTACCCACATCCTTGCACGGCTGCATTATATCCAAACTAATTTTTGTCTCTGGTGAGTTTATTCTTAATCCAATGTAGACGAACCTTGGAATGGAGACCACCACAAGACAAGCGACTACCAGCAAGCAACTCGATATATTTTTCAAAGAAAACGTTTTTTTCATCTCGGGCGATATTCTTTTGTTTTTACGATTTTTCCTCACGACTAGAAATTAACAATCTGTAGTTGATAAACAACATCGGAGGAATGAGAAGAATGGAAAAAATTACAGCATGCACTTGGTAGGAAATAACAAAGTCGTTTACAGACATCACATTCAAAGTTATTTCGACGATGATCAGTATTGGAAGAAGAGTTAAATTCTTCCCTTCGTTACCGATGTTTGATGAAAGATAAGAAATATCGATGGAAATTCATCACCAAAGAGCGAAATATGAAAATCAAACGAAAATACTTGTCGAACTTGTGGAAATATGAGCCCATCTAGCATTTATATCCAACTTTTCCGTCAACCATGACATCGAGATGAGGGCCATCAATGGACCATTAGTTAGAACCGCGAGCAAATCGCAACAGGACAAAACCATTATCATGAAATAACATAATTTCTTTCGAAGTTGTACATGGGCCAGTTGTATAGAAAAGTAATTAAAGTTAACTATGTTTAATTGCAAACGTCATCCAATAAGAAGCGCCTATTTGAGAGTTATCAATATTTA